AGTAGGTGAGTTAGGGTTGGAAAATGAGTTTTAATGCTGAATTCATATTAGTGGGTGCATCTACATGTGAGCTTTACTGCAAAGTAGATTAATTAGCTAGGCAGTAAAATGTCACTGTCTTCACGTGCACTGGTATTAGGGTGCAGTAAACTAATTAACTCTGCTGTAAGATAGTACTGTTGGGGACAGTACTATCTTACAGTGGGGTAATTTACTGCACTGAAATGCACCTGTAGATGGTGACTGCCGGTGAAAATTGCCCTTCGAACTGTGAGACATAAAAGTTAAACATACTGCCATAGAGGTAGAAAAAATCCTATGTAGCAATGGAATTATCTGGACTGCAACTATGGAGAAAAATGCTTTGTGATTTTGTGAATTAATGGCCCACCAGCTGGAAGCCTGCTCCGCCCCAGCTCAAATCACTGCTGCCCTAGGAGCATGTGTAGATGCTGAGCCCAGGAGCACTTTACTTTGGCTCAAACTGTTCCAGAATGTATTGTTTAGCATTAATTGCCTGTGTAGATGCACCCAGTATTTTCTTCATTCTGTATGTATATAAACGCGTGCATATATTACTTTAATATTTTAAAGTAAAAATACTTTTGTGCCTTGTTTACTTACAGCTTCTTGGCTTTTCTTCCTCTTTGCTGCATTAACACTTCTTGCTGGGCCTTTGGTGGCTATTTTGAAAGGAGAGCATCTTTCTGCTATTTTTAATTTTAAAATGCCATATTTTCTCACATAAAACATGCCCCAGAATATAATACACAGTTTATCTTAAAAGGCAGGATGAAGAAACAAAATCTTTACTTGTAGTAAGTAACTGAGTAGCAGCAGCTAGGCAGCTGAGCCTGCTCACTGTTCTGCTCCCTGTGGACCATCAATGCAGATATTACTTTTAATTTCACCCATAAGCAGCAGAACCTGCTCTTGCCACTTTTCTCACATATAATGTGCACTCCAATTTCCAGCAGCTGTTTCTTTGGGAAAAAACATGCATGTTGTATGCGATAAAATACGACATGTATTAAACTACTTCATTTCCAACACAGCAAAAATTACATATTGATAAAAACAGACATGTATCCCATTAGGGCTGAACTATGCTATCTTTATTAGGCCAACTTCGACATCCTCTTCATAAGTTAACTTAATTTTCCAGTAATGCTAAGAGCCAGAGTCCAGCCTCTTTTATATGGGGGGAGTAAAACTGGTATAATTCCAGATAAGTAGAGTTCCTCTGGATTTACACTACTGTTGGAGTTTGGCCCCCAAACTCTAAAAGGTCTCTTCATGTAGAAATGGACAGTGAATGAGAGCAGGACTGAGTCTGAAATGACTTTGGGGCCTTGATTTTACATAATTTTAATGCAGACTGATTTTTTTCCTAAATTAAATCATCCAAGGCTACCCTTCTGATATATCCTGTTGCAGCAAATGATAGGCTCAGCCCTACAGTCCTTACCCAGATAAATACTTGAAGCTTTGCTTTAGTTAAGGATTCAGGACTGAGTCCTTTGTTTGTCGAGACTAGAAATGCCATCTATCCAAACTGATTTCCTGGAAATATTAGTCAGGGTGGTCAAAACTACATGAAATCAAGTGAAACAGATTCTTACAAAAAGACATTTCTAAAGTCTGATCCTCCTGACCTCAAGATTTCTAAATTGTTTTGACTTTTAATATGGAGAGTTTCATTTGGTTTTCCTGATTCCAAGGATCTTTGCTTTTCTAAAAGTGTTTCAAACAGCAGTCAGTAAGGGCCTGATTTTGCAATCTTTACTCAGTCAAAGCTCCCATTGACTTTTCTGGAGGCCAAATGTTGAAGTCCTTACTCAAGTTTTATTCACTTCTTATTTGGACAAACTCCCATTAGTTTCTCTGGGAATCTGTCAACACAAGAATTGAGGACTTGATTCTACGCCCCCTGGATTTCCAGTGATTTGACTGGGGGCAATTCAGGTCTCGAGAGAGAACTGATTTGGCATAGGGTACATTTAAAGTTCCAGTCCTAAAATGAACTACCCTTGATCAGATTCCTGCCCTTCTACAGAGAGCTACTGACTTCAGGGGGACTTTAGCAGGTGGAAGAGGCATGTAAATGGAGCACATTGCAGGAGCAAGGCCTTAGGGTCATTATTTTCAATAGGAGTTTTCTCTGTGTCCAGATTATGGGACCAGGTCCTAATTGAATTTAATCTGGTCTTTATTTAGTTGCCTGGAACAGAGGAAAACAGGATCAGGGCAATTTCATAAAGCTGTACATAGAAAACAGAGATGAATACTTCAGGCATATTAAAATTGACTGGTATTTAGCCTGAGTCACCAAAAATCTCTACCCAAAAGCACTAAAAATAAAGATAGAAAATTAATGACTACAAACCACTCAGGAGCTAAGTTTTGGAGCTGAGATACATGAAGTTAAGCAGAGTGCCATAGACATAGAAAAACTCCTATGTAGCAATAGAATTACCTGGACTGCAACTATGGACAAAAATGCTTTGTTATTTTGCAAATTAATGACCAGACACTGCTTTGAAGAAATGACATTGTACTTCTAGGTTTCAAACCACAAAACAAACTTGGTCAGGAAAAAATTCTTTAGGAGACAGACATTTAAATCAGTGGCTCTCAAGTTTTGTAATCTTATGACACCCCTCCCCACCGCCTTGAACTTTTGTGAACTGAGCAGCACCCCATATAAAAAACAAATTTATTTGTTACAGTGCTTACCTACTTGAAGAAGGGGAGAAATAGCGAGTGGGTGGGAGGAGGAGCAGCTGGAAGTGAAAAGCCTGCACTTACCTTCTCATTGAAGGCTGCACTTATTTCACTTACCTCCTCTCACCCAGCAGCACCCTCCATGGTATCCTGATAGAGAATCACCGATTTACTTAGTTTTTTAAACCAAGAAACTACACTGTGCTTTAATTTGGTCCAGAGACTTGAGTACACATTAAGTCTATCATGCAGCCCTTATATGAATAAGACTGCAGTAAGGTGTGCAGGATGAGTCTCATGTGTTTTTGCAAAAGGCACCCTTGTAACCAAACTGTCTGATCTTCTATCACAAATACATCAGGGGCCTGATTTTCTATTCATTTAAGTCAGGGGCAATTTAATTTAAATGAATGGAATTACAAGGCAAGATCTTCACCTTGTATAAACTGGTCTACCTCCACTGCAATTAGTAGAGCTGTTTTATTCTATGCCAACTCTATCTAAAACAGTTCTAAAGCTTTCATTACCATATGGCCCTAGAGCCTGACCAACTCAAATGTACTTATTCTTCCAATCACCCATGAAGATTGTTTTCCCTGTTCGGCTAATGGGAACTGAGGACAGAGGGGCTGCGATTTGCAGAGTAAGGATGTAAAGTTCTGTGTTTTTTTTAGATATTAGGTAAACCCCTTGACTACTGAACAATTCTTCCTCTCAGGCAAGGATCTGGCCAGCCTGTTGTAAAACTGATTTAATTGAGAATCAGGATATTTCAGCAGAAATCAGAGGGAACGATAAAAGTGAATATACAGATATATTTATATATGTAAGCTTTGAAATATGCTCTCCTTTTGACATATATATATGTCTCGAAAGGAAAGAATATTACCAAGTTGATGTATATTGTGAATCTGCTTTTTCATCAGAATTACTCTAGGGATTTATGAACTGAAACATTGATCTATGTTATTCAAGTCATTGAAAAAATTGACAAGGTGTCTTATAACAGACTATATATATTGGTGCCCAGGAAAAATGAATAACTTTCTTCATTCAGTAGTTTGATGGTCTGATGATGATCTCACAATAGTGAGCAAAGGCCTTGGAATACCATAAAAACAAGATGCTTTGGCATGGGAGAATGGAATGACTGACGCTTTCCTATAATTAAATGTTTTTGGTTGAGCTACAGAGTGCCAATGGCCTCAGCGCTTGAGACAGCTGCTCAGCTGCCCTCCAGAAGAAAAATAGATACTATGTATAAAGAAAAGAAGATTAAAGGCTAAAGGGAAAAATATACCATAACAGGACCTTCAGTAGGTTGTCAGAACCAAATATCAGCCAATTGAAAGAGAAAGGATGGGAACAAAGTAAGAATTTAAAGGAAATATATTAAGAACAATAGAATTTTTTGACTATATAAAATTTCTCTCCAGTTGATTATTTGGCACTATTTATTGCCATATAAATATTTTTTGTTTTGCATTTTCATTTAATGATGGGTGATGTCTTAAGTTATGAAATTTTGGCAATCTTTATATAAAATATCAAATGCTACAAGTTCTGGTCATTAAATCTGCTTTTTCTCAGAGAATTGTCATTTAAATTACAAATGCAATGATGAAGGTTCGGCAAATAAAAAAATACTATGATTTACAGCATAGATAAACTAAAAATACTGTCCTTCCTTAAACAACAGATATACTCATGAGCTTTTTAACAGAAAGCAAGATATGTGAGATGCTTTAAGTAGAAGTTGCAATTTTGCAACATAAGTCTATACAAAACCTCCAGACAGTGTTCTGTGAAGGAAGTACCTGTGTCCCAGGAAACTTGTTTTCCATAGTTCCTTGTTAATAGTAGCTTTCCCCCCCCGACCCCAAACTATTTACAACTATATGCATTTTGCAAGCTCAAAGCACCTTGTTTCACATCATTATGAATGCATGCATTGACATTTAATCCTTTCATGTGCAAATTCTAAAATTCACTGTAACCAAAAAACCCAAAAAAAGTTAAAAGGGTTTAAAATTTGTCTATAATCATAAGTGAAAGGATCAAAAATGTCAGACGTTGCAGAACACTGGCTCCTAACGGAGCTTTTTTAATTTTATTCACGGTTCTTGAGTCATTTTTTTCCTTTTTTTTTGAATTTGTTACAAAAAAGCAGTCTTGAACTCTTTAATTAAACAGTACTTAAACTAAACAACTCTTCATGCCATGCAAAAATAACATTTTATGCACTTTTTTAGGCTTTTCTTGTTTTAGCTCACAGGCATTACTAACTGTTTTAAGAACAGTTTTTTTATTGCTTTTGTAACTAGTCACATGCTGGTTTCGCGTGTGGGACAGTAACCAGTTTCTCCTGGGTTTGAATGAATTTCTGGGGCAAATAAATGATTTTCCAGTTTGTAACCTTCTTGCTGACTGTCCTTCTTTCCTTCACCCCCAGTATGGTAAATGTCTTGAGTACAGTTGTGACTAATGATTTTTGGTGATGAAGTGCTGATTCTTGGCTCATCTGTTAAATGTTTGCCATCATTGTGTTTATCTCCCAAGCAATTTGTCTTGATGTCCTGCTGCTTTTCATGTTTTACACCATGTAATTCCAAAAAGTCTTCATCTTCTCCGGTGTCTATTTCAGTGAAGCTCCTCCTCTCTTTTGAAGGGAAGGTGAAAAGCTTTTGTTTGGGAAATAGAGGGGAGGATCTTTTAGGAAGTCCCTGGCAAAGCAGTGATGCATCAGCACCGAGCGTGGGCCTTTCGCCTTGAGGTGAATTCTCTTCTAAAAGGATGGTGCTGATATGCTGTGGGGTAGACGGTGTAAAGTCTGCTGTTGCTGTTACTGGCAATGGCCTAGCAGTGCTCGGTGGAGTTTGTGGAGAACTGCTTCTGTTGTCCTTAAAATTAACTTTAAGGGATCTAGATTTTAATGGATGGCTACCTTTTAGAGAACTTTTTGGGCTGTCCATGGTACTGTCAAAATGCAGATGACCATGCAGGACAGTTTGGGAACCACTGCCATTGTTGTTTACAGCAGTGTCTATTGGATTATAGTCAAAAGTGATATCCTTTGTGAGTGATATAAATGGGGAACTCTTTGTTCTTTGGCTGTCTTCTGCGTTAGCAGAGTCAGTTGGGAATCTCATTTGCACGTGGGAGCCAGGGAACATGGGGAGGGGAGATCTTTCTGTTTCTGTGAAGTCAGTTGCACAACTGGCAAAACTATCAATACTAGATGTGCTTCTCATGTCTGGTATTATATCTGTATGTCCAGCTGGTAACTGATCTGTCTGCCCTGTAACCTCTCCCATTTCTATTTCTTCTTCATACACAGGTAGTTTTTCTGGCTGATCTAGGTACCCAGCATTAAGATTAGGCTGAGAATGAGTTTTAGTAATTTCATTATATAACATTTCCAGTTTCTGAGCACTCAGATGCTGTGGGCTGGAAGAAGCTGCAGCATTGTTTAACTGCTCGTGGGAGTCTTGTTGACTAACTTCCTGGTATTTGTTTTCAAAAGACTTGTTTGAACTTGTTTCAGATATTGTCCTTCTGGCCCACTTCCACCGGCTAGGGGATAGGTGGTTGTCATCCTGTGCTTCCTTTGTATTGGCTGGTTCTTCCGGCTTCCCTGGTTCTACTGCTACATCAATCAGTTCCATGCTGCGAGCGAAGGCATCTTTCAGGTTCATGGAGACGATGCTTCCATTTCTTTTTGCTCGCTCAAGTGCTTCTCTTCTTTTAATTGCTTTCTCCTGCCGTTTTTGCTCTTTGTAAAACTCAGAGAAATTATTCACGATGATTGGTATGGGCAGGGCTATTACCAGCACTCCAGCGATACAGCACAATCCTCCAACTATTTTCCCTAGTAAAGTCTTAGGATAAATGTCACCATATCCTACGGTGGTCATAGTGATCGTAGCCCACCAAAATGATGCAGGGATACTGGTAAACTTCGTAGCATCTTCATCTTTTTCAGCAAAAAATACAAGACTGGAAAATATCATTATTCCCATTGCTAAAAATAATATCAACAAACCCAATTCATTGTAACTCCGCCTAAGAGTAAAACCTAAAGACTGAAGGCCTGTTGAATGTCGGGCAAGTTTAAGGATCCTTAGTATCCTCATAATGCGAAATATCTGAACCACACGTCTGACGTTTTGGAACTGCAGCACACTTTTGTTGGACTCTGTGAGGAAAATGGTGACATAATATGGCAAAATGGCCAGCAAATCAATGACATTTAATGGACCTTTGAAGAACTTCCACTTATTTGGTGAGGACAGGAAGCGCAATAGGTACTCCATAGTAAACCAAGCAATACACACAGCTTCGACATGTGCTAGCTGGGGATTGTCATTTGGCTGTCCGAATTCATCTATTTCTTGAAGCTCAGGTAGTGTGTTGAGAGACAAAGCAATGGTTGACAGTACGATGAATAAAATGGATACAATGGCCAAGATCTGCAAAACAAAATACACAAATTCTGGTTAAATGAGTGCTTAAACAAGTGTATCTGTAAATGGAATTTTTTAAAACATAAAATCTGTTATGTGTTCTAAATAAAATGAATCTATTTCCATTTTTTCCCCTTAAAAATTGATTTTTACAAAGTAGACCAGTTCTAACTCTAAATTTATTCAGAGTCCTTCATGTTAGACTGATTCCAGTGGGACTATTTCTGTCAATGAGCACAGTTTGACCTACAATTTTAAAATTAAAAGAATCAGCTGATATACCATAAAAAAAAATCAGTATTACTATAAATTCACTGGTAAAGAATAGAAAATGTCAGAATATATAACACAAATAATATAAATGTGGATTTAAAAAAATCAACATTATACTAATTATTTGAAACTTTACAGTGTAATTAATCATTCAGTTTATTTAACTTAATAATTCATAGCATACAAATCACTTCTGGCATTTTACTGCATATGAAATCAAACATATATTTAGAACTCAGAGGTGCCCAAAAGAGGAAAGAAAAGGCAGTGCTCTGGCAGTCTGTTCTTGAATCTTTGTGACATCCATGAAAGTTTGAGGCACTTATGAAATGAGGAAATGGCTGTGAATTAGGCAAAACCTTGGTTGTAGAGCTGGACATTACACAAAGCATCATGAAGAAGAAATTCAGATTCTCACTGATCATTGTAAAAGAAAAATTCCAGAAATCGTTGCCGTCTGCACATAATGCCCTAGCTTCAGTCTGAGGAGATACATTTTAAGAAACATTGTGCCTTTTAATGAGAAGTAGGCCATCTCAGTGCCTAGAAATATTTAATTTTCCCAGAAATTTCTGGTTGTTCTTCCTTCAGATAACTAGTATTATGAGAAAAGAACTAAACATATTATAGAATTTAACATTTTTAGCACTTAGGTCAATTATTTGTAACTTAGAGAAATATGGGCAGCCTTGAAATCATTTGTAAAATGTTTGCAGTTATAAGAAACATATTTATAGAATATGCTTTATTTGAAAAAGAAATTAAAAAAGCATTTAAAAACTCCTAAGTAACTCCAGGCTTCCATTGGAAGTACTAAGCGAATTGTTTTCTGCTTTAAAGTTCAATTTAGGCTCAGACAAAAAACAAACAAACAAAAAAACCCCGATTTGCACTCATTTCCCAGAAATGCCTCAATTAAAACCATCCTGTGATGTTTGGTATTCTTCCAAAAACACTAAAGCACAAAAAAGCACTCTAATATACAAAGTGATGGGCAGTGCAATAAACAAATATGCTCAGAGCATGACCACAATAGAGATAATAGAGGTGGAAGGCTGGAAGCCTGGAAGTCTGGGTCGAATTTCTGCTTTGAGAAGCACATTAATCTTTTCCAGAGATGGGCTTGTTGTACCATAAAACAGGATCAGCCCTAAAATCACAAACCAAAAAAGGCAAAGTGGGGGGATGAATTTGTAGGAGGCCACAAGATCACCTCTCAGCCTTCTCTTGTGGAGGCTGAAGAGATCCAGGGCCCTCAATCTCTCCTCGTAGGGTTTTGCCTGCAGGCCCCTAACCATATGAGTGGCCCACCTTTGAATCTTCTTGAGGTTGTCCACATTCTTCTTGAAGTGTGGTGCCCAAAATTGGATGCAGAACTCCAACTGTGGCTTGACCAATTCCGCATGGAGGGGTAGTATCACCTCCCTGGACATGTTTGTCATGCACCTGCTAATGCACGATAAAGTGCGGTTACCTTTATTGATTGCTTCGTCACATTGATGACTCATGTTTATGTTGGGGTCAGCAGTGACTCCGAGATCCCTTTCCACCGCTGTGCTGCTGAGAAGGTCTTCCCCCACCCTGTAAGCGTGGTGGTGATTCCTTCTCCCTAGGTGCAGCACCTTGCATTTGTCCTTGTTGAACTGCATCCTTTTGTGCTCTGCCCACTTTTTAACCTGTCCAAAACTGCCTGGATTCGTTCCCTACCCTCTAGTGTGTTAACTTTACCCTATCATTTGGCATCATCTGAGAATTTGGACAGAGTCCTTTCCACGCCCTCATCCAAGCCACTGATGAAGACATAGAACAGCACTGGTCCAAGGACTGAGCCTTGTGGGACTCACTTTATCATGCCTTGGAATAACCTGAACAGGGTAGTATTTCCTCTGAGTGCCCCCATCAAACCTCTTCCTTCTGGTGGTAGCTGTTTTATTAGGACAACTGGTCCACCTATTTGCACTGTGTGAACCCTGAACCAGCTGTCTTTCTTCCTACCTACAGTCTAAGCAGAAGGAGTGAAGAAACTGTACCCTGGTGGACCTGGGCTCTTGGCATTGCTGCAGATTTCTTTGGGATGTTGCTAGAGTCCTGCTCTCAACAGGCAGTCATACCACTATCCCCTCTAGGAGCAGAAGCCAAAATTAGTGAGCAGCTTACCAAGATGGTAAGAGAACATGCAAAGGATCACACTACAGAGCTAGGTACCTTCGCATAAACCCAGGATTGCAGGCTGGAAGCAATTATAGTCTGTAGCTAGCACAGGACCAAAGTAATGGTTTCCCAAGCAATCACATTACAGTATGGCTCTACCCTCTAAATTCTGAAGTATTCCCATCTGCTATGTTACAATATCACTCTTACTGGAAAAAGGTTTGTAGCTTAGAAAAGTGCCATATTTACTCAAATAGAAGATGACCCTGATTACAAGATGACCCCCCAAAATTAGATTCTATATATGGGAAATTTATAAATTTGTTATAATGTTCCAAGTATAGAATCTAATTATTAGAGGTCTGCCTTGAATGTGTCCCCATCCAATTGCTACAGCAGGGAAAATAAATCTGGAAGGGAAGGAGGGTCAGGTAGCCCTTTGCTCTCTGCTTCCCCCAGCTTTTTCCCCTGGCAGCCTCTTCCCCATCCTTACTGTCAGACCCTGCTCTCCCTGAGCACATGGAAGTAAGTAGCAACCTGAAAACAATATCTTAAAATTAAAGATGGCTGTAACAATTTGCATATATTATCTATACACTTAGTTTATCCAGAATTGATATATTACCTTTTTTTGAAACTGCTGCAAATTTTAGCACAGATATTTGATGAACACATTTTTGAGCAGCACTTTGGCACCTATTTGTGTGTAGTACAAACTTTTTTTTTAATATATTTTGTTTTAAGGGCCAAATCAGTTCCAGATACAATTGGGCAAAGGCCAATACTCAAGTTCCAAAATTTGACTCAGCAGAGCTCAGTCGTCAAGTCTCCATGGCTCTACCACCAGTCAAATATCCTCCCTCCCAGATCTATTGGTCTCAGGCTTTGGATACTCCCCAAATCCAGGAAGGCATTCTCCAAGCCTGGGGCTTGCATATTGGCCTCAGGTTCAGATGCTCCTTGTCTCCCTTGATCTTAGCCATGTCCAAAGCCAAAGGCTCATGATTTACCACATAGTTCATTGGGCTGGTCCCACCCAGAGTCAACAGCATTTCAAGCCATGGTGACCCCACAGCTCAGCACTGCTCAGAATGTGTGTACTCCAGATAACCACCACAAAGGATCCATGTGTTAATTAGCCCCTACTCATGACTGGAACTGGGTGACTGGAACTGGCGATGAGGTGCAGGGCAACCTGGTCACCTCATGGAGGGCAGGGTCACAGTAATCATATGCACCAGGGTGAGAGAGGGTCTGACAGAGGGATTCTGGATGAACTGTTGTGGCTCACCATGACTTGAAAAAAGAGTTGACAGTGAGGGGACTGTGCTTAATAGGCACTACCACAAGTCTTGTTCAGATGGGCTATGCTAACCTAGTTTTGTGGTAGGTTCCCATTAGCACGTCCCAATGCTGCCAATGTGTTTTATAGTCATGCTCAGTGCTGTCAGCATTGAATCAATTTCAGAGTTGGTTTCCATTGCTGAGCACATGGTGCGTTTGGCTGCAATTCAGCGACAGACAATGTATTTAGTGAGATTTCCTTGTATGTGATTGCAAGATGAGGCTTTTCCCCCACGCCAATTGGGGGGGACGACGGGACCTCATCTTGTATTTGAGTAGATATGATATGTGGTTCTGCACATCTCAAAGTCCTGGAATAACTATGAAGTAACTATAAAATATTTAATACTATATTACCATAATTTCAGGCGTGTACTTGGTAGCCGTGTTGGTCTGAGACAAAAAGACATACAAAAAATTAGAACTCTTGGTTCCAGAATGATACCTTTTATTAGACCAACTGGAAAATGGCAAGAAAATTGTTCTTTTCTGCAAGCTTTTGGGATCACATCTGGGGAAAGGTGAACATAGCACTTCCCTCTCAGACAGCCTAAGCATTGCACATGGAGCAAATTCTTTCACAGAACTTGAATACGCAACCTTCCTGTGCAGCATGGACAGTGTTATCCAGGTGATAGCAACTGTTGCTTCAGCATATTCATTTCTGGAGTCAATTGCTGGTAACATGCAAATCCAGAACTCACCAAATGTCTCACAAAAATTTAGAAATGTACATGTAATAATAGACTTGAAGTTCTGTAGAACTACAGTTGTTGGGTATATACCTGTTTGTATTATTACTGATTTTTAGTAAGAAGGAAATGGTTTTGGTTCCTTGTACTGTAAGAGTCTCAAATTTTCATTTCACTGGGACTTTACACTGTAATTAAAGGTGCATGTCATTCCACACAGTATGTTTTAATTATTGCAGTTGATTAGATTTACCAAGTCATTAAGCAATGGCTGGCAAGGGAGCACAAGTAAGTGTAGTAGCAACTCTATGAAGATGGAGAAAAAGACCAGTGGGTCATAAAAGGGTTAACTGGTAGAACTGCACTGGCAAATCTTCTTGCTGTTGCTTACACTATTAAAACACTTTTTGTCAGTATACAGATTATTTGCCTGAATGAATTTGCAAATACTGGCCAAGGGGCTTTTTTGTAGTATAGCTCTGTCTATTCTACTGCTTCTGCTAGTGTAGCCATGCTGTTCAGAAAAGGAAAAAAAATCAAACCTCT